TTTTTTAATCTAACTATGTTAATTTAAATTTATACCTACCTGTACTTATCTATATAAACATCATACAATTTTGATACATTGCATTTAAATATTTTTTTGTCATAGTTGGATTTCAATTTGTACTGATTCATTTATACTAAGACACAACAATACTGGAGTTTTTAATTTAGTGTAAAAGGTTTTTATCGATTTACCCATTTCGTATGTATGCAAGAATCATTAAACCAATTACAATCAGAAAATTTGTTGCGTGCATTTTCGCACTTAATAACTTGAAATATATTTAGTTAAGTACTATATGTGTAACTTTAGTAGATCAAATCTTATTTCAGATACAGAAACCTAACTAGGACATTTTTTAAATTAAAATTATAATTTCAAAATAAAATTTTACTCATATTTTATGGGATTGTTTCAAAAAAATCTAATAAGCAAAAAATAAATAAATAACGTCTTTAACTCAAAAATTAACTGAGAATCGCAACAATTTAAAGTAAACCCAACCATTTCTGGGAAGGGGTTACAACCACTTAACTACACCTAGTTGTATCATTGATCAAATACATATAACTAAGAAATTTTAAGTAAACAATTTAATTATTTTAACTGTATGAAATTAGTCCACTTCAATTCAATAAACAAAAAAATATTTAACAATATATTTTTATAACTGTTTAAGTACTATTGCTTTTGAAAAAAATATTTGTAAATTAAAAGTGAAACCCGTTTTAACTTGAATATTGCGCTAATAGAATAATATTGATAAAACATCTCAGACGGTTACTTTCATAAAACTGGTTAAGTAAATTTAAAAAATCTGCCAAAGTTAAGATTCTTTGCTGTTTTCTCAGGGAAGATTACTTCGAAATATATATATAGGATTTTGGTTGTTATCTTCGATCAAAGTTGAAACACTAAAGAATATAACGGAGGAAACAATTGAAATACATGTTATTTTTTGTACCGTGACAAGTCAAGTGTTGTTTAACAAGTTTGATAAAAAATCCATATACCAAATTGGTTAGTAGTATATTGTGTCTTTCTTTTGTTAAAATAAAAAACTTTATCTCCTAATGGCCGAATAACATAAAACGATTTTTTTTACTTTATTAAGTCAAAACATAGTTTACTTTGACAATATGGTTCATAATATTATGGTAGCACAGGTGCTCCAATCATATTTAAACGACATGCTTTTGAAGACTTTTAGATATAAAGCTATGTTATGATTTTTTTATGAAAAAAGTTTCTTCTTTTACTGGCACCACAATGTATAAATAAACTATTGTTGAAATAATCATGTTATTTTCAACCTAAATAATTAGTAGATAATTTTATCAGATTTTGGACGCAATAAGAAAAAATTTTCTAATAAATAAATCCACTTATTAACTATGTATTAGCCATTCGTAATTTCTAATTAGTCATCACAAAAAATTTGAATGCACTTAGTGTGCGTTACTCAAAACTGAAGACATATTTTTCTATTAACCAGTTTTGACAGTGTCCTATATTATCTCGTATGCTTACAAATAATACAAATTATTATTTTTACATCTCCCTAAAAATTGATTTGAAAAAATATGAGATTGTACAAAATACAATTCGAACAAAAGTTTTAACCTTTTCATTTTTTTACTAATAATTGATTCAGTGATTTCAATGATGTTATAATATAAAGGAAAAAAAATAATTTTCATCTAACAAATATTTAATCATAAGTTAGTAAATATCAGTGATTAAAATTAGTTATTTTTGTATTCTACAAGAAAATACTTGTGAAATAATGTTGAACCACCAAAATTGCACAATTAGTGTTTTCAAGCGTACAATGTAAATTGCGTACTATACAAATATCCTATTGACTCCACCAAACCAATGGACAATAGGTGAATTAATTAACTGCATCACTGGGATTTTGTGGTATCGTGATAATGATTTCATATTAACGTGATAATAATTATGTTTATAATTGTATAAATTTATTATAAATAATATAAATTTTGTTTATATTATAAATATTAATTATGATAAAAAAATATAATTTTTTATGTATGAATCTTGTTATAAAAATTTGAAATGTGCTAATATTTACACCTAACTGTTTACCACAATACCATAGTTTATTACACATTTTTTAATGGAAATTTTTTCAGAAAATAAATATGAATGTAGTAAAATTATATAGTTCAATATACATCAATAAGTTTATAAATATGCACTAAAATTAAAAATGTCAATAACTTTGTTATTTTTTAGGGTTTATTCAATTTATAAGTGATTCAATTTTTTAGTGAAATAAAGACTTAACTAAAATAATTGGGCCCTTTTTATAATAAATTAAAGTATTTCATTGATTACACAATATTTTAGAATGCATTAAAAGCTAATATTTTATCACAGTATCAAACAATTACCTTTGTAAGCCATAAAGTGTAATTTACCCAAACCTGCAATAATTAGAGTTATATGGCCCAAACAAAAAAAAAATATATATATTATAAGGAAAATTTAATAATATAATGCGTTTTTTAAATAGTATTTTATGAAAAACGCATACACTGTTGATATAAAATATATGCAAAATTTCATTAATTATGATAATTAATTAATTTTTTTTATTAATTTTTTTAATTCATAGACATATTGTGTGTAGTAGTTACAGTGTAAATTTAAGCATTTAAGCATTTAAAATTATGTAGATTCAAACGAAAATGTTCAATTAAATTCACAAACAACTATATGAGCTATTATATTTAAATAAAAGTAAAAAACAAAGAGGTAATCATCATATGATCAAAATAAATAATGATCTAATATTAGACCATTAATAATATATAAAAGGCCATTATAAGTTTAGCATTGATGATAACTTGATTGTAAAAGTGCGTAATCACGATTTTGTACGAAAAATATTTTTGTCTAATATAGTTGGGTATTCTTAATTTTTTTTAATTCTCATTAATATTTCGAAAAGTATTTTTTTTAATTTTAAATAAAATTAGCCAAGTTAATGATTAATATGCACTATTCATATCACTACTCTAATAAGAATTAAAATATAAATAAATGTAAAATAATGACTGTGTGCTCGTCGTACCACTTTATTGCTAAAATATAGTTTAAATAATGGTAACTATTATATAAACTCTTTTTTAAAATACTACTTGGCTTAGGCTTTGAAAATTGATATTCAACATTTATGTATTCCATCGATGTCAGTGATAAATGTAAAATATATATCTACACAGAATTGTGATGTATAATAAGTGTCGAATAAATCATAGAAAACTCGATTTAGCCATTTTCAAACACTATTAAATATACTGCCCATAATTTTAAGATAGATAAGAAAATGGTATTTGAGTCTAAAATTAAATTTAAAAGTTTAACTAAAGTACAATTTTGTACACAAAATCTAGTTGAAAATATTAAATAATAACAACTACCAATGTTTTTTTAATCAAAAAGTAGATAATTAATTTCTAAATGTAAAAATGTTACAAAAATATAGACTACAATTATAAAGATAGTTAGGTTATCAAAGTGTAGATACACTTTCTAATAAAAGTATTTTCTTTTTTGATGAAAGTCACTATGAAATCTCGGTCTAAACTCTGTTTTCAACTTTAAAAGATTATTCCTTAGGAAATGTATGACTATGAATTCTTAATTAATGTAATTAATTAATACTATTTAAAAAGAACATTAAATAATGCAGCAAAAAAATTAATGGTAACCAAGTATTGTTATATTTAATAAATATACATTAAAAATTCCTGGCAAAGGAAAAACAAAGGCAACTTTTTAAAAAAGGAAATCATTTGAAAATTAGCATTTATGCAACATAACGATTCTCCAAAAATGTTTAATAAAAGAATGTTATTATCTCAATTAAAACTCGAACGAAAATATTTAATGTATGAAATGTATGTTTTACATAAAATATTAGACTTCCTAGGCACAGCTTAACTTATAAAGTAGTGTCAATTGAGGTACAAAACTTTTACTACACAATGTTGTAAATAAACATTTTAAACTTTAAATTCATTTGAAATATTATATTACTGATAAAACAATACAATTATGCAGCAAAAACAAATGAATTTAAATATCTTAAAATATCAGGTTCACAAATGATTTCTTTATGTTAAAACGAAATATACATATAAAATTATATATACACACATACAATATGATTCTTTTTATAATAACTGCTCAATATTTCTTAAAATAATAAACAATTTTTAAGTAATAGCATGCTGGACACAAAAAAAAACACGGGAAAGTAAACCAATAGCATCTTAGGTACGCATTGAAGCTAAAATATAATTTTAACGTAGTTAAGATTGCATGAATTATTGATTACTTTAGTCATTAAATGTAAACTTTATATCCTATACATTTCACTATTTACAATTGAATTTTACTCATTTTATTAATTAAATGTCTACTATATTTCTGTTAAACTACTTCTAGAGTACTACTTTTCCTGCACAACACTACACTATTGTGCCCAGCGTAGCCAGGTACTCCTACCGAAATCAGTGGCCTATCTGTAGGGACAGCACCGTGGGTGCTAGACGCCCGCAGTGCAAAGGGTCTTGTGGGCGGAGCCGCAGCTAGGCGAAGCCTAGTTGGTAATAAAAATTAAATTAGAAATTAAAAATGAATAATTTCTAATACTATAGTAATAATTATTTTATCGATGGATTAAATATTGTGTTCAGAGATTTATCAAATAATTTTGTAAATACTAAAAAATACTTATTTTATAATTTAAAGTAAAAAAAATTTGTTTAGCTATACAAAAAGTGTTTTGATATTTTTTTTGCTTTTGTACTATTTTACTAGGATCCCGAAGATGAAATCCAGAATAAATGTTATAAAAAAGAGTTATTTGTTTGGTTTAAATTACAAATTACGAATAAGTATAAATAAGGTACCTTTTAAAAATAATAAATTCTATGTATTTTTAAATTCATGTTTTGTCTACTTACTTTGGATAAGTGACATTAGGTAATGGTTTCAGGAAACATCGTTGTCGTAATATGCCTTCCCAAAGTTGTACACCGATAATTCCAAATATAAAAAAAACAAAGAAACATAACAACAACACATTTCCCAACATGGGTAGAGTGTCCAATAATAACATAACAAGTATTCGCATACCTAGAAAAAATTAATTAATATTTAAATTAGATCATTCGGTAAATAGCAAAATATTAAAAAATAAAAAGAGTTACAGTAGCACCAATACTAATTTACACGTATTTATATGTACTCATACAAATATACAGAATCATTCAACGTTTCACGCAGTTCTAATAAATTTTGATCTAGTCAATACTTTTCATTACTTTTATTTTATTTAGTTTCGACTTAAATGCATTTTACCACCCCATCGAATTTTTTCAATTTTTTTTTTTTTAATTGATTCAGTTTTTTATACTGACTAAGAATATATAAAAAAATTTTGTCGGCGAAGTCCAGTTTAAGCTATGAGTTTAAAAGTTATGAGCTTTCAAAGTTTTCAACCATCATTGACAAATTTTGTTATATACTGCTGTTCTTTTTGTTTTTTTGCATTAATTCATTAGAAAAATTATTCTCGATGATGTATTAATCGAATTTTATTTATTTAATAATACTAAAAAAAATATTTATATGTGTGTAGGTACTTAAATAAAAAAATTTACGTCGCGCCGCGCAATTCAAACTGTTGCTGAAATGGTATTACTGATACATTTTATACAAACAGTATCAGTTTCAATTCTAATTATTTATACAATTTTTTTCATTTTTTAAATTATGATAATGCATTTTTATATTTGACAGTTGATAACAAAGATCATGATATACTGTTTTACTTTCAGCTTAATTCTTAACAGCTTAATTCTTTATCTATTTAAGTTATTTCTTTCTCACTATGAATCGATGGATGTATGATGGAAATTTGTACAAATGTCATTGTGGTTTAAATGTAAATATTTGGGATAAACCTAATAGTTATTTAGAATTGAGTAATACTAAAATTTCAATATCTAATGTAATAGTATTTTTTTTTTTTGTTTTTTTGCTCAACTTAAATTAATTGAGTTTCTTATTATTACCTAATCACTTATATAAAATTTTATGAAAAACCCATTTTTATTTCGTATTGCGTAATTTTGATGTGCGTAGTTTTGAAAAAAATTTTTTTTTGAAAATCCTTATTTTTAAAGTTAATTTTCGTTTTAGGATTTTTAGAATGAGGATATTATGTAACAGTTACGTCATTATAGTTTCACAATATTATCATGAGAAAAAATCCCAAAAATTACCAAAAAAAAAACAATTTTTGAGCTATTTTTAGTTTTTAACGTTTCAACATTAAAAAGCTATAACTTTTGAACCAAATTTTTCCGACAATTTTTTCAAACACTTTTGAAAAAAGCATTGAAAAACATACGTTTTAAAAGAAAAAATTTTGAAAAAACTCGATGGGGTGGTAAAATGCATTTGTTCCTTAGTTTCTTTTTTTCATCATAAAATACATTGTCGAAAATCATGTAATTAAGTAGTGGCATAATTGTTTTTTTTTTTTAATCACTCTAATTATTTTAATAAAGCATGAATAAAAATAAAATTCTCCGTTTGATGTTTTACATTTTTTTTAAATTTTTCATTAAGTTAAAAAAATTATTATTTTATTAAAATATTTATAGTCCTAATGTATAAAAATTTATACGCAAAATATTAACTGGATCAAAATTTATTAACATGCTGAACAAGAACATCATATATATATATACATTAGCGTAGTTTTCATGAGGCCTAAAGTCACCACAGAAACTTTTATAGCCCTCTCAAATAATTTTTGAGGAGGTGTAAGTTAGAGAATCTTTCATTCAGGTCTATTATCCAAAATTATGAAATAGAATATGAAACTGAACTTCTACAGAAATATTTTTCAAGCTACGTAAGTATGTTACGTAATATACTATAAGAGAACAAAAAAGATACTTTAATAATAAATTACTGAGAAAATTTGACCATCAACAAATTTGGTGGTATTTGTAATTCATAGCGAGTTATTTTATTAGCAATCACATAAAGTTTAATATCAACGTCATTTAGAAGTTAAATGTTTCTTTAATCCTTTTTATGTATTATAAATTACTTTAAAGAGGCATTCAAAAAATAATCCATCAAATATATTAATATAAACATGATAAAAAAACGGTTGCACTATGTGGAAGTGGCATAAATGGGACAAGTATAGATGATATCAGATAGTGATTAAAATTACTATCATAAGAAACGCTTCGATGCAAATCTGTAGACAGTGTTTAATTTTAAGAAATTGGTAAATAATTACAAAAGCAACATCAACTCATATTTCCTAAATTATATTTTGATCAGTGGTTCTTTGATTTAAAAATATAATATATGAATAAATATTAATTATAATAAATATATTTAGTATGCAATTGATATTCAATAATTTAATATTGTAATTTATACGGAAAAATTAGAAAAATAATGAAGTAATTGTATATTGTTTTACTTTTAACGTGTATAAAAATTTAAAGGACTCAAAAATTTAAAAATCCCCCAAAAAAATACAATTTTAAAAATCGGTAATTTTTTCAATTTTTTTTTTTCTTAAAACGACCATAAACTTTTTCAAAATTTACAAATCAGTATAATTTTAGCTTCGATGCGAAGCGGAGAAGGTATTAATTTTACTATGATGTGTTTTTTTTTTTTTTTTTTTTTTTTTTTTTTTTTTTTTTTTTTG